CCATGTCCACACCACTGTCGGATTAAATAAGCCAACTCTACTGGAACACTGTAAAAGGAAGTGAAAGAGTAAAGCCAAAAGCCGTATTTAGAAGTGAAAGAAAGCATCAAGTCATGAAAGGAGTAATGATGAGCCATGGTCAAAATTACTGAATAAAAGAACTCAAGGTATATTTCCCCTCAGAACACACGCACACAGTCACATGCACAAACAAAATCAATGCACTGATGTAAGAACCGAGTTTTGATTTGTTCCTGAATTTCTGTCATCTGTCAAGGAGACTTTTTTGTCTGTCTCTGGAGATCCTACATGAACAGTGCTGATACTGGTCTTCATGAAAATTTAGCTTAGAGAGAACCACAGTCAATGCAGCTGCTTCCTCCTCCACATTTTGAAGATTAAAGATAATAGAAGAAAAACACAAAAAATGATTCATGGCTCAGAAATCAAAGTCTTACTGGGAGGGTAAAAACTGTACACTGGAGGAGATGGAAAAACCGTAAATTTGAGCTGTGTAAAAAACATCTCCCCCTTAAATTCTATCTTTGCTACAGCAGAAATGGGACAAAAGGAAAATAGACTCAAGGAGAAAGGCAAATCTAGAGCAGAATAGTCAGTCTGTTCCCCTCTGGGCTTATGAAGAGCAGACTCAAATCAAAATCCTTGGAAGTCCTTGGGAAAAGGATACTCTTAGCGGGTTACAAATATAGGAGCTTTGAGAACACCAGTATTTTCCTAAGGGGAATGACAAGAAAGTCTTGGAAAGGTGTCAAAAGTCACAAAAGTAATTTTGATTCAACAAGATTATTGATGAAATCTCTGTAGCAATAGCCCCAACATAGTAAGCTAAGCTCTTCAGTTTGGTTTCAGAAGAAATTACCAGATCCATTTTTGCAGCCTTGATCTACCACCTCAGGCTGAGCTTAGACAGGAAAAAAACCCTCAACATAATTGTGTCCTTCTCTAAAGGGAGAAGGCTAGAGGTGCCCCTTTGCATTACACTGCAATAACATAAAGAGAGAGACAAGGTCTTTCTATTACTGGTTTGCATAAGGCCAAATGCAGCAGGGCTGAGGAGTCCAGGTGCTATTGCATTAGTATTAATACAACTGTAATAGGTCTGTAAAGGTATTTTAATCAGTGTCTCAAAGATACTTGAAGAGTAAAGCTGATTAATTAGTGGTTCTACGTTGGCCCTTTTTTCTAGATCCTGCACAGAACGCATGCACTTGAGAAAAACAAGAGTAGTTTCCTTATCCAATATTACTATGGAGTCTCAGGACTGGTGAATGTGAAAGTTACACAGATACGTGTTTTCCCTGTTTCCATTTTTAATTCCATTTCAGCTCAGAGGATCTTGAGAATCTGCTGATAAACCGCTGTTACCATTCTGTAAGTACAATGCTCATATAGCAGTGGCCAGGAAGGAAAGCTTTGCTTTAAGTCTGGGTAGACTTGACATTTGCTCAAAATCCTTGCTTGATCCTTGGATGGAATATAATGCCAAAAACCCCACTGTATCCGTATCGTGGTTATGCACCTGTTCTCCATAAAATCGGATAAGTCTGCTCTCCTCGTAGGTCACCACTTAGAAAAATAATGAAATATTTAGAAAGCTTTCCTCAACCCTAAAACAGCAAATGGAAAAGAGGCATCCTGGATATTTTATCCAAGGTACAAGACAGGCCCCAGGCAAGATTTATGGGATTTTTGCCACAATGACCAGATGAGTCTTCATCATTCTGGTAGAACACGGCAGCTTAAGCAGATCTTTAGAGGGGTAATAAAGGTCCTTTTGCTGACTATTTTTCAGGATGCAAATAGTGTTTTGTGAGGTGCAGTTAAATATGAAAAATACTTCTGGAACACAAAGATGGATAATCATGCATGGCCAAGTTTTCTGATTTTATTTCCAACAATGGCCACCATCCAAGCTTGCCCAGAGCAGCCTTAATCAGGTCATAAATCAGAGGAATAGAAAAATGAAATTGTCATTTGTGGGACCGAAATAAAATCTATATTTCTGAAAGAAGAATCTAGCGATTTTTGCAATAGGAGAACAATTACAATTCTGCAATAAGTGTACTACATTCCTAATGTTCCTTGCTTTGTGTCAAATTCACTGAGATGAATGATTTTCAGATTTACTTTGGTCAGTCAATAGTGTAGGAATGGTTAATTGTTGTGGCACCAATTGATTAATTGATTCTTTAAGAATTTGATGCATATGGGAGGAAGGGAACTGCATGAGACAACACATATCTTTGCTTCCTTTAATCCTCCTTGCCTTCAAATAGCAAGCTTTCAGCTTATGGACTGCAAAGGCCAGCAGCTCTGCTGTACTCTTACAGCTCTCAGGTACAGCTGTGAGTGGGCCTAGGTGACATGTTAGTGTCTCTACATGTTACATAGAAGTGGCTGTGAAAGGCATGAGAAATTATACCGTAATTCTGATGTGAGAATATGGCCCTTCATGTGCTCCAAAATATCACTGGACTATGGGTTGATACATCACATGCCACGGACAACCCTCAGGGCAATATGAGATCAGTTGTCGCAGTACTGGCAGGCTCTACACACAAGGAGAAATCCTTCTAAAGAGGTAAATTTTTATTTGACTGGTTAGGCATTCTTACCTTTTCCACCTTCCTTCCAACGAGACCAAAAATCTGTGTTTCTTTGTGAGTCTTCTTATACCTCTAACTGAATTTCATTTACCACCTTCAAAAATTATACAATGATAACTACATACAACAGACATGCAACTGAACTTCGTGTGCTGTGACAAGAGAGTCAACATCTTTAGTATTAATAATGTTGAGTTTGATGCATGTAATATACTAAAAATGGATTAATTGTTTTTTAAAATCTCTTTCCACAAATTCAGCACTTTGGATCTTTCCTCCCTTTGGAACAAAAGCACGTTTTGAAATTTTGGAATTTTCCCCAGGACAGAAACCTTGTTTTCCACAAGCTCTAATCCATGGTGAGTACTGGTCTGGGGTACAGCAGCTGTTGCATATGGTCAAGAAAGAGTACGAAGGAAAATGCACAGTAAATGCGCTCGAAATATAAAATGGGAGCTTTTACTAACTGCAAAGGACTGGGGCTTATATTATCTCCTGTGAGAAAACTTATGCCAGCTTTTTCGACAATAATATACGGTCATGGAAGTAAATTCAAATTTATTCATAGGCACTTTTTTTTTTTTTAAACTACAAATCATATCTGTAAAGTTGAAACAGAATATTCAATTAATCAGGATGTTAGGAATACATCTGTTCAGTTTCCCAAATCACTGTGTCACTCAGTCACACTCTAATAAAGGCTACTGTCTGCTCAAATGAGGTTGCATTTATACTAATATTTAGACGTGGCTCACACTTCAGAGACTGGTATTTCTAGCAGCACTCAAATTCAGGATATGAGGAATACAGGTGCAAGAAAAATGCTATTCGTTATTTCTTAGTCACCAGTTGTAAGAGACTATTATGAAAATGTTTGTCAAACATAGCTGAGAAACAAACAAACACAAACTGACTTATGATTAGTCAAACACCATAAATAACAAGCACCAAATAGGTGATGTGAAAGTTTGCAAACATCCCATGATATTTATTTCTGCTTGTTAGGCATGAATCTGATGATTCATTAACAAAAGCCAGAAGGATCATTTGCGCAACCCAGAAAGACCACGAAGAGAAAAAAAGGCTAAGCATGTTCAGTTGTATCACTGAGCAATGTCCTAGGGTTTTGAGGCCCAGGACTGGGATCCAGAAAGCTCTCTTTTGTACTTGTCCTGCTGGATGACTCTGAGTATGTGATTTCCTCTCAAATGGGATTAATTACTTTAGCTTAAGGCAGGGATAATGATACTGACCTCCTTTGTAAAGTACTTAGAATCATGCAGATGGAAAGCATGTAGCTGTAAAGGGGCAGAGGAGGAATGACATACTGTACTAATTCCTGTCATTCCATGTTAGATGCTGGTTAGAATCAGGTTGTTCAACTTGCATGTACTATGCCCCCCCATTCAATATTTCTACATCACTGCAATCTCACAGGCTGACTTATAGTATTCTTTACCAGCATTGGAGGATGGATTTTGTATTCTTTATAGACCATGCAAATATTAGTTATTGCAAATTAAATCAGGCAACCTTTCCTTACTGCACCTCTTGTAACAGAATGGACTTCAAATACAGAGGACAAGAATAACGCATGTGACAATTGCATAGAGTTTAAGTTTTTGAAGTGTGATTTAAAAGGGCCTTAAGCAATTGCTCTGCCTTCAGTGGTGAATTTCACCTTCTGAAATATAAAATAGATTGAAGGAAGAATACAATCCTCCTAACTGCATCCTAACTTTTTTTTGTGTGTGAAGTGGAAATTTATCTGTTGTACTGATTTACTCTATCACCTGCTGATCAAACTGGAGGATGTACACCTCCTGTCAGCACTCAGCCTGGAAATCAGCGACTACTACAAAGAACTCCCAACGTTTTACATGGAAACATCTAACCCTGATAAGGTTAGCACTTTATAACAATCTTGTCAAACTTTATACACCTGTAAACAGAGTTTACAGCGATAAGTTTTGCCATCACACTACTATTTACATCCCATAAACATAGTTTACAGTGATATGCAGAGCAATGATAACGACATTGACAAGAGTACTCAACAGAAGCACAGATGTTGAGATGTTCTTATGCAATCTGTATTACTGCTTATATCTACATAAACTTACTTGAATAACCAAAGTTGCCACATTTACCATAAAATAAAGACAAATATCAATATTTTAAATGCAAACATGAGCCATTATATGTGCAGTTTCATCGACAAAATTTCTCAGATCACATCATGCTTTCATAGAAAAAAGTCTCTGAGTAGAAAGTCACTTCTCTAAATTTGCATGGGGTGTCTACAAAGTTACCAACTACCAGTTTAGTTTGCTTTCTACCCAGGAGTAAGTGGAAGAAAACCAGCCAACTTACCATCTCCTTGACAACGCACAGGACCCACAGATATCTTGGCTTCAGACCCAGGCCGGTCAATGTCTCCAACCACTACCTGACTCACTGGTAGGTGCTCTTTGTATGACAACATCCCAGTGTCTTTTCTCCTGAATTACAAAGAGAGAGAAAAATAAAGCAATTGTGAAATATATAAAAAGAATTTCCTTGATCATTATTATTGTTCAAGGAACTAAGCACCAGAAGAATAGGTAACTAACAAGTACACCAGTACAGTGTTGCTGTCTAAAAACCTGTCTCAAAGGACAGCAGTTTGTGCAATAACGCTGCCCATTTACTGGAAAACGGATGGATAGCAGCTACTGTCACGCAGAAATACAGTCAGAGCAGCAGCTTGCTTTGTGGCCAGTCCTGGACTCAGCTGGGCTTGTCTGGGTCCTCCTGCTTTCCAGACTGACCAGCTCCATACTAGCGGGTAACACTTTGCTGTTGATCTCCTTGCTGATGTCTTCTGAGAGGGAAAAAAAATCCTAATGCTTCCTAATGCCAGTTATTATCCTAACGATACAACTTCTGCATACCAAGGAAACAGTGCTTCTTTTATATTTAACATCTTTTGTTTTATATTAAAAAAGAGAAATGAAAGACTAATTATCTGAAAAGGCTTGTCATCTAAGTCCTGTCATTTCTAACACTATGTGCCTAAGTCCAAAAAATCTAAACTTGTGAATCTAACCATGAGTATGCAGCTCAAACCCCATTTTAGTTAGCAAGATCACTAAAATTCAATTTATAGTCATCTCTAAAACCTCCTAGTTTCAACTGCAGGGAGTAACCTGGTGCCTTTTTCATGCCTAGACCAAATCATTATGCACCGTTACAAAATTTTTCCTTTATCATTTCAAGAGCTGAATCCAGCTGGCTTGCTGAGTGCTGTTTCTTCCAAATAAAAATAAAATAAACCAAATTTAATTAGGTACCTAATCTCTCAGGTGCTTTTTTTATTTTCTTTTTTTTTTCTTTTGACATAAACACATGGAAGGCCAAAAATATCCACACAGGAAAAATATAAAGTGTTAGGACTATACTTTTTGACACAAAAGAAAGTAAGAGGAAACAAAATAAATCCATCTATTTCTCTCTTTTTTTCCTCTTTCTTTTTAGCTGTACCTTGCCATGTAATTGAGTATTGAAATTAAGCAACTTTTTGATCTAAAAATCCAATTCCTTTGTTCAAAAATACCATAGGATGAAGGATGAATTCAGGATCTGGAAAAGTGACTAAAGTGCATGGTATGAATATAACCAGGAATTGGTAAGGATTTCAGGAAACTGAAAGTCTTTTTCATCTCTAACTTGGATGACTCCATGATCTGACTCATGAGATTGCTAACAACTGGGAAGCACAGCAGGGATCTGCATGATCTGTGGTAATGCTCAGAGTTTTCCAGTGTATTTCCAGTAGTGTCTCCAGTCATCACCCTCACTGGTTCCTTCTGAAGAGACGGAAGGCAAAACATTCCTTTTGAAAGAAGCACAACTAAAGTAATTAAGAAAATAACCATCACATTTTCGAACAACAGTTCATTGGAACTCCTGTCTGTTCTCTGTGATGAAGAGAGTAATTAGAGTTTTAATTACTAGAGTTTTTCAAATAGTAGATGACTGTTTTCCTTAATCTGTGTGTTCTTCCCCTTCAGAGCACTTGCCTTTCTCCACGGGCCCTTTGTATTGCCAACATCATTAACCCTTTCTGGCTGGACACAGCTATGGACCAGGTGCTATGCTGGTGAGGCTGCTACAGGGGACTGCTAGAAGGGAAGGAAAATGGAGAGGAGTAACCCTCACAGACTGCTTCTGCAGACTGTGCTAGGTTGTAGCATACCACTTTTCATCCATGGATTGCAAAGCCCTTTACAAAGGTATCGTATTCATCAATTTGGAGACAGGTGATATAAGAAAGGGAAGATTAAAGGACTTTCCCTTTAAGAAAGAAAAGAGTGAATACAAAGCCAGGTATGTAGACCTCATCTTCCATCTCTGCTAAAAACCTGTATCCATGGGACCCACTCCTTTCTAATAGAGGATAAATGTAGGTCATCACTTTACTCTTTCTGAGATTTTCCTCTGAGACGGGCTTTCTCTGCTGATTGCCACTCTTTCAAAGAATGCTTTAAAGATGGACGTGTCTATTTAAAATAAAGAATTCTTCAAAGACCGATGAAAAGAAAACTATTGGCATTCCTCTTCTTTCCTTCCCCACTCACAAAAAGAGTTAATATTTCAGCTCCAAATAAGGATGTCAAAGGGCAGCCCTTTTCCTCTCACCAACAGCTTTCACCTCCTTTGAAGCAAATAAAAAGGAGCAGTAATGATTTTCTCCCTCTTTACTGATCATGTCTCTACTCATTTTAATATTTTATTTATGCATTTAGTGATATGGTCACTTTAAAGCTGTTGCCATGACAATAAAACTAAACGTTAAGAGTTCCTTTCAGGAATAGCCTTATTTTCTGATAATTGCTTACTTGTCTCATCATTGTAGGAAATGCATTCTCCGCTGCACAGGAGCTATTGAGGGCTAGGAGTACTGGACTAAGAGTTGAGAGAAGTGCGTTGTCTTTTCTCCAACAGAACCTGTGTTTACTCTTAACAAAAAAGGGATAACGATAGCTTTTGGATCACATGTGCACCAAAAAGACAAATACACTCAAGAGACTGAGTGGCTCTGTTATGCTTTTCTAAGGTAATTGTAGTTCCTCTGGACATACTAATCAGCACTGACAAAGTCAAAAAAAGTTATAAACCAAAGACTGATTAAAATGCTTGACTTTGTACTACACACTTAGAAATAATCACAGCTGGAACACTCAATTCCTGCAAGTGATAATGCCTCTGCTGGTATTTAAAGACTTTGCACATTTAGAGGGAGGAGAAAGTCTCTGAAGTTTTTCCTCACCAAAGAAAATCCCCTTAAGAGAATAAAGATTGAATTCTGAGTGTGCCATATTCCTATAAATAGCCAAATGGGAGATGAATGAATCTGATCAAATCCTGTAATTATTACCAGGAGATATTGATGAAATCTCAGTGTAATTTTCTATTTCTAATTTCTTTTCCTATATATAACTGTCTGCAAAGTGCTTCAGGGTGCCTTTGAATGAAAGCAGCAGATATTACTGTAAGATTTATCATTGTTTTGATTACGATCATCTACTTACTCTTTATAAGCATTCTGTGGTATGTAAAAAAGAAATGCATTATGCATGTATCAGCAAATGACATATTAAAAGTAATGATAAGATTCTGTATCACTATTAATTTATTTATATAATGATTTCATACAACCAGACTTCTGTTACTGGAGCAATTTATTTTCTCCAATTTTGTTAGACATAACTTAATTATCAGTCCAGTCCTACACAGGAAAACACATAAAGAACGTACTACAGGTAGGAATGGACTTAATTTTAAAAGATATACTTACATGAGCTGAGGAACTGGAATTGTTTTGAGAATACAAATAAAACATCTACTGGATTGAAACTGCAGTGTGTGCTGGTTTTGGCCGGGGTACAGTCAATTTTCTTCATAGTAGTTAGTATGGGGCTATGTTTTGGATTTGTGCTGAAAACAGTGTTGGTAATACAGGGATGTTTTTGTTACTGCTGAGCAGTGCTTACACAGAGTCAAGGCCTTCTCTGCTTCTCACCCCACCCCACCAGCGAGCAGGCTGGGGGTGAATAAGAAGTGGGGAGGCAACACAGCCGGGACAGGTCACCCGAGCAGACCAAAGGGATA